AGGATTCACCCAGTTACAAAAGCAGGCCCTTTCTCACACTGCTGAGATAATCAGAGCGACTCCCCCCTGTGTGTTTTGTTTGTATTTGCATGTGAAGCGGCGAGAGCAGAGTGAATTTATGAAGAGTTTCTTCCTTTTCAGCTGTTTTTATGTGATCTTACACTCAGAAAATTGGGATCTCCTGCGGGTATGTGTGTTTTGTGCATTTTTATGTGGTGAATTTGAGATGAAACCCTTCAAGACTTGGGGGTTCTAAAAGCTACAAATAGCAAAAGAGACGTTTTGACACTTGCATTTTTCGACTGTATCACATTAAAGGGCAATAAAAGCTTTGATGGAATCCTGGATTTCCTTTTTGCTGAGCCCTAGTTTTATGTCATATTTGAAATGGCTCTCTGGGTTCGGCTTTACAATCCAAACCTACAGTATCACACAGTGTCCTTTTATTAATAATGTTTTTGCTGGACTCAAAGGAGACTCCCCTTGCTCCCTTTACATTTCTCCCTCGTCTTTCTCTCCCTTGTTCCAAAATAAATTAGATTTCTCTCCTGGAATCTCTGTCCAGGGGAATCCTTTAGAAAGTGGTCCAGGCGGTGGAGAGATATCTCTTTTGTTGGTTGAGGGGGGGAAAAAAAGAGAGATACATGGAGGAGAATGGGCGAGAGACAAAAGACCTCGGCAGCGGTTCTCCCCAGGGTCATTTCTATTCCGTCAAAGCCGTTCCTCCTGATTGGCCCCCTTCACGGCTGGAAGTGTGCGCCAAGGCCCCATAGGGGGATGGCCTGATGGGGGATTAGTCCTGTTTTAGCAGGAATTTAAGCAGGACTGTGGCCACCATTCAGACCTCCAAACCTCAAGCAAACCAGAGCATGGCCAACCCACTGGAGCAACTTTTTTAATTAAACACTTTCAACGTCTCCCTAATCCGCTTCCTCCCTCCTCCCACAAACCCCAGTGGACGCCATCTCAGACATTTTCTTTTCCCCTCTTGACTCCTTTGCTCCTCCTTTGTTTTATTCAAAAGATGTATGAGCTGGAGGGAATTAGTGCCTTTCCTCATTAACAATGGAGACGTATAACGAGGGCAAGCTCGCAAATCTTAAGGTTGAAAAACCACCATCCTGAAAACATATTAAATGAGCTAACTCTTCATTCCGCAGGGAAGTCCAGTAGGATGAAGTCAGAACAGAGGAGTTTATCGAGTCGGTCCACGCTGTGTTCAGTAAAAAACCCTCATACCGCAGGTCAGACCAAAGGTTTTGAAAGCAGTCATTCATTAGACCAGAAGAAATGGTACCAAAATGAAAGATTTAAAAACTGGTTGTAAATGTCGAGCTGTTTATTGGTGTGAAACATACTTAAAAAGAAGTTGAGGGATTGCAGCGCAAATGCATTTCTGTATGGACTAAGATGTACAAGATGCTACTTGCTTTTTACTTCAGAAAGCATAGAGTAGTAGTCGTTGGGGGGAAAGTGCAGGTTATCCAAGGTTTCCATCTCACTTTATCTGCCAAAGGTTTTGGAAGGACTGGCACTTGGCAGGGGGTGACTTCTTACAACCAGGGAAACCTTTAGGTTATCAATGTTTTGATGCCCCAGTTCAAGAGAGAGAATCACAAAGCAAGAAGAGAACTGTTGAATATTCCTTACAATGCATCAAAGTGACTGGCTGTATTTACAGTATGGGAAACAAGTGTGCTTCAGCAGCTCCCTGCCACGCGCTTCTTCCTCACCAGTCTTCTTCAAAGCCTTGGCTGTGAGCTGTTTTTCCGGGCAACTTCAAAGCCTCCCTCCTACAAACGGTTGCCGGGAAAGGACCGGCAACAAGTCAACATGACCGTGTGTTGCTCGCGCTCGTACGCCCATCCCTCTTGCACACATACGTGCATGCTCTCTTCTTCTCCCCCCTCAGGGAAACACTAGCCTGACATCACCGCTCGCGAGGAAGTCATATTTATCTTATGGCAGACGCTGCCAGTGCAGTCTTATTTTAGACGGATGCTTTCAAGTGTTGCGATTCACAACATCTCCTCGTTCATTCAAGAGAAGCAACAAAAGGCTGGAAACTACATCTACAAAGGAGGGTTGGCTCCCCAGGTGAGTTGGCAGTGATCTGTTTGATGTGCCTCTTGGAAGCATAAAGCAATGACCTGAATGCAATTATTCACACTGGAAACAGAACATCAGTGGATTGTGAGGACACTCTAAGGGGCCTTTGTCGTAAATGTCAGTCATTTCCCAGCTTGGAGCATAAAACAATCAGGTCTGTCAGCTCAAATGGGCAATTTGTAATAAGATATAACCCTTCCACAATGTATTCAAATTGAATTTGGACAATGGTTGTAACAAGCAGCCAAATGTTCCTTTAACTGTCCACGTTAAGTGGTGTAAATTACCTTATTGGTTCATCTCATTACTTTCCTGCCAATCGGCAATTAGACTCTCCTCCTCCAGAGCCCTGGAGTGTTTCATTCTCATGCATCAAAGCTGTTTAAATTGATTGTATTTCATCTGCTTGACATGTATGGCTGTTTTCAGGGGAATTAATGTAATCCACCGAAACCTTGATGAGCTGGCATTTAGGGAGCAGCTCATTCCAGGGTCAGTTTTAAAGATATATGTCGGATCAGCTCGACGTGTACACACATTCTTGCCAAGAGTGCATCAAGAGAATTGTGTGTTCTCACCCATCAAAGAGGTTGCAGGCCTCGACGCAGGTTGGGCCTCGTCTGAAATAACGACAGGAAAGACACTGGTCGGGCCCCGGACCCCAGCACCCGTCGTCCGAACACATGCGATCACATATCATTCGCTGTTGGGCTGCAAAGAGAAAGACGTTGAAATAGATTAATAGTGGCCATTATCTGGAATTAATTCACACCATTTAGCCAATCAGGATCAAGAACTGAGCCAAACCATGACATACTAGCGTTGTCTTTGCTGTGGTATTCAAGGATTGTAAGCATGTGTTAGTGTGTCACTGCTAGTCTAATTCCAACCTGGGTGATTAGTGTTGACGTGTTGTGTGCGTCTCTCAGTGAGTGTGTGTGTTGTTCTAGCCGGCGGCCGTCCAGCTGTGGGATTAAACATTGGTATTCCCCACACCTCCATCATTAAAAACCGCCCCAAACAGAACCTTAAGGCCCCTTTTATTTTCAAGTCAAACCACAACAATCGATGCTGCTCAATGGACTTGGTGTCTCCTCCATCCTGTGAGTGACACCCGCGTCCCCGGGAGTGTCGCCCGGCAGGGGCTGAGCCCTTTGTCAACAACTGAACAGTCAATGGTAGACGGGGGGGGGGGAGGATGAGTCTAATGAAGAGGCCAGTGTAAGGCCCTATCAATCGATGTCTTACACAGACACTACACTCATTAACTGGCAAATGATATCAACCGCAGGCTGGCAGGGACAAGAAAAACTACAGTGGACCATGTCTTTGTTTAACAGAAATCTTTGTCAAATTTGGAAAACAAAGAAAATGCAATCATTGCCCAAAATCTACGAATGTTTATTCCAGTATCATACTTTCCCCTTTTTTACAAGATGAAAGTCATTGTGTATCTTTAGGATTGACCAAAATGATAACATCATTAAAAATACATAATCAATATGACAGTTTAATGTACATATTTGATCTGCCATGAAATGTGTTCATGTGATCTGCAAAAATGTCTTAATCTAGCACCCTGAGATTGATTTATCTTTTCCAACATACTCGGTGAAATTGGAGCATTTCCCACATTCAGCTAGTTGATGCTGAGGAAACCTCGCTCTATCATTTCGGTATTATACTTACAGTGTGTGATGTCTTCCTAGCTCTGAGATCCGAGTCCCAAGGTAAATGGAACACACCTTTATTCCACCCCCTCCCTTTTTTTAGGTATGCATTTTTTTTTTAACAGATTCTCTTGGCCTTAATAACTTGCCATAAAACATGGTGGTTACTTTCTCTCCATCTCACAGTTGATGTGTATACTGTGTGACTACTTCCTTGTTCCAGGGGCCTCACATTTCCACCATCTGCAGCCAAAGCCACATGTGGCGTCTGTTCGATCAGGTGTTTACTCTCCCCGTGGCCTGCAGTGAGTTTAAATCCACCTCTATGCTTGATATGTTAAGCACTGTGCTCGCAGGGAGCTGAATACAGGCTTTCATGGCCAATGAGTGAGAGTGACACAGTTGCCTTGGAAACGGGCAGGGTAATGTATGAGGCACAGGGTGGAGTTAGATTTGCAGAGGCATGAGCGGGGTCTAACTTTGGAATTAATTAGAGGTCTAAGAGGAAAGAAAAAAGGGAACAGCAGAGTTTGTTGGAGTTTGGTTCCTGTTACATATACTCTTAAATGTAGAGATACAGTGAAGAGTATATGTCCGTGTATAATCTTTCAAAGAAGATTAACTCTATTGATCCCCCATTGGGGAAAATGCGTAATCTTGTCAATATATCCTTATTAAAGTCTAATTCTAAATGCCTCAAATTAGAAACAATGACGCTATTTTAGCTTATATCCAAAACCTATTTTTGATTTGAGGAATTGCTTTGATTAAGCGATCTTGTTTTTCTTTTTACAGACGCTCAAGAGATTTCCCGCTTGTTTCAACTCAATATGTGCAAATGCTGTCAGATTTCTGGGCTTTACTCAGAGAAATATAAAGCATTATCGGTATCGAAAGTCAGTTGCTTATTTGATTTGATGATGTAGAAAGGATGAGTCCATTTTTCTGAAATGGTGCATCATTCAAATAAATGCGACTACATAATTCCTTGGATTCCCAAAATAAACCACTTTGACTTCGGTATAAAAAAGGGTTCCAGTTCAATCATTGCATAAACATGCAGAGATGAAGTCATATTGAAAGTACAGATGACAGACAAATGCCCCTTTGACAACCTCTGTATCCCATCCGTGGTTTAACTGTGAATCTATTTAACAATATTTGCAGGAAAACATCAAATAATGAAACTATTTGTATTTTCATATTCAAATCTAAACTTGTTTCTGAGTGTAAAACACCAATATGATAGGATGTTAGCCTAAAAGCCAGCCTCATTAGTTTGCTGGCATTAGCATTGCTACGTTAAATTCCACCCAATGTACTGCCTCCGATCCTGCTTCATTGGAAAATACTTCATGATGCTGATTTTTCTCTTAATATTCGATTCTTTCCTTTTAAATGTGCTGCACATGGGGATGAAATTAGCAGATTTGACTGCGAATACAACTACTCACTACATTCTTTTGGATCTTGGTTGTGGCCGATGAGGACCATCTGGCTCGTGGTCCTGAAGAGGGATGTCCAGTTGACTGTGTTGTAGAAGCACAGGCGGCTGTTGTTGAAGATGTACACGTTTCCGGCGCTGATCTCGTCCAAAGACTGGAACTGAAGCGAGGAGATCCAAAGCTGCTTCAGGATTAGCAGAGAAATGCCACTTCCACTGCGGCAGTCAAAAGGAAGATAGAGAAATGTGTTGAAATTTCGAAGATAGAGAGGATGAATGTGAAAGTTTTTAAAGGAAGGAACTTCAGAAGAGAATATCGCAAAAATCAGGCATAAAGAGAGACGACGATGACAGCAGAGAAAAATAAGAGCATGGCAGGTTAAAGACAAAATTAATAGATGTAGGACTATAATCACAGAGGGGACAGAAATATAGCACAAAGAGAGATTTGAGGAGGATGCAGAAGGATGCAGCTCTGAGCACAAAATTGCTGAGCTGCTGAAAACAAAATCAAGGCCAGATCTCCTTTGACTCTGCCGACGCTACGCCTCGGATCTGCCACTTGCAAGCTAACACAAAACCTGTTATCAACACAGGGCTAATCAAAGCTGCGTCACTAGCGACACATCAAAGGCCCTCACTGCAGAACAACACAGGCCGGGCTGCTCATTAGCTCCCACAGTAGCCATTCAAACACAGGAATACAGCAAGAAACAGAAAGAACAGGTTGTGACAGTAGAGGGATTTTAAACTTTGATATGATTCTTGTAAACATTTAACAATATTGATACTTTTTTCAATACCACGGCAATAAAAATAGAAATCCTAAGAACCCAGTATTCCATATTTTCTCCAAACTTGCTTTCAAAAACCTAGGCACTGTCTAAACTGAGACAGTGTGGAGGAATTTGATGCAATTTTTAATAGAATTAGTCCTCTCCTACGCACCTTTCTGATGAAATAGAGTTAGTTTTTTACAATTTTGGTACTTTTTATACTACTCATAACTAAAATAACAAGGATAGTATCGTTTTAAAACACATGGTATTGAAAAAGCATCCAAGTTAACAACCTTAATTTGAAGAAAGACAGCTTCAAATGAAAGGGTGTCATCTGCATATCGGCAATCTCAATCTTTCTTTTCCTACATGAATAATGCATTTCCTGCATCAGATTCTATATTTTTATACTGATAGAGATTACAGTATTACATACCTGTAAAGAGTTCTACCTCCAATAGTAGCCAAGTTTGAAAACACACTCAGGTCTGTCATGTTTTCAGGCCAAGACTGGATGTTAAGGTAACCTTAAAGATGTATCAGATGAAACACAAAGTTCAAGGAAATTAATACACTTATTATTACCTTGAATAACATATGTTATTTTTCAGAAACAATGGTGAGAATAAGATAGAGGAAAGTGAAAAATTAATCTAGGATACATTTCGAAAAAGGGTCATAAGGAGCCAATGGAATAAAAAGAATCATTTGTTCCCATTCATTCAAATTAAAAACGCTGTGCAAATGCTGCTCATTGAAGTTCAGCGCTTCTCATGAAGTCCAAGCAAGAACCCATTCCTGGGAAGAAATGTGCTCGGAGAAGACAATATACGCTAATTAAAAGGCTGGATTTAATATTCTGTACAATCTGTCCACTTGCACTTGCCTTTAATGACTGATCATATCAAATCAGGATCTGTGGAAATGACATTAAAGGGGTAGAGTAGGAAATGGCTGGGATAGAACGGCCATTGCTCTTCCTTATTGCTCGGGTTTTCATTATGAAAATGCAGTTTCACTCCATTAGCTGTTTGGCTCAACTGCAAGTCGCAGTTTAATATGACAAAAGGGCTTGTATACAAGGTATTGCTCATCCCTTAGGGGCTCTAATAGTTAATGAATAAATACACTCACGAAGCAGTGTCTACTGTAAGCACGTATAACTATGAGACATACACACACAACTGCATAATATGCACCATAGCACATTTTAGAGTTCACTAGCGAAAAAAGCAGCTTTCCACTTTCCTCTTAAAAGCATTTTTCTTACTGCCTCTGAGGCCACATAATCCACTCACACTCACACCACGTAATAATATTGTTACGTCCACTCAATTTTTCCAAGGTGACTCCAGTGAGGCAGTCTCACCTGTGATCTCCTTCACGGTGCGGAACACGTTAAGAAGCTCAGGGTCCAAAGGCCCAATACCATGATACTTGTCCCTGGAGAAAATAAACACAAAGCAGACACGCAGAATAAGGGTACGCTCTTTATAAATTAAATTAAGCATATATAGCGTATATGTGTGTGTATATGAATTTACTGAACAGTTCTGGAGGTACAAACCATGTGGACCTGAAGGCACCATTTAGCAAATATACTCCCCATAACACAGTCTGAACGTGGTGTTGTTCATAATGAAATAACCTTCTTTTTGGCACTTTGACAGTGCTCTCTGATTGAATAAAGCACATTGTTCATTGAGTGGGCTCATTGACCTTCCCAAGCCAGACCCAATGGGGATATAAATGAAGATCTGTTTGTAATTATGCTGTCCTCGCTTAGTTCCAGTAGCTGTATTTTATACTGTATGTTTCCCAATGGTTTACCTGTGGTGTCTTCTCCAACATCTTCACAGGATCTATCATTTATCATTCTATTCATCATGTGAATTAGCAGATGAGCAGCTTACATTAGTATTTTAAAGCTTAAGAAGCATATTTAGTCATGTAAGTTGGTGGAGACCAAAGCAGAGCATTAAGCAGTTTGAATAATGGACTTCATCTGATGCGCACAAACACTACGCCCAATTCATGCCAATGTTTCTCTCCATTAAATGTGTAAATAGGAAACTTTTTGATAACATATTCAGTTTGGCCTTATAGTACCTAATTCCAATTCATGAATAACCTCGACATCAACCCAAACCCAACATTTCTGACATACAAATGACCGTATCGGTTTGTACTTGGATTCTATCCAACCATTATTTGGACGCTTGAGACTTCATATCTTTACATTTTAGGGGGATAACTACTCAATCCTGAACCGGTCTGTAACTTGAGCTAATCTAAGCTAACCACCATCAAACTTTTACAAAGAAATCAGGTGACAATGAGTTTGTTTAGCATACAGTTAAATGGAAAAAATATATATCTAAAAGCATTGCTGGTGAGGTTACAATCTGTCACTTACCCATTAATTCCAGTGATGAGAAAGACGAGGTTCCCATTGATTTTGGTGCAGTTGACAAATTTATCAATGTTGCTGGCATCCACCGTTTGAGCTGTCTGCAGGCTGCCTGTTCCTATTCCATCGCACACTGATGAAACAAATGCAAACACATTATCATGTGTTATTAAAAAATAATTAACTTTTAAGTTGCTTTGGGATTAGCAAATAACTTCTGGAGGGTATATCCAAAGTGTCCTTATATAGCCTTGTGTTACTATTAGCTATTTGTCACCTTAATTCTTAATACTCTTTTATGAAACTATAGCCATGCTTTGGTGCATAAGCAAGGCCATGGCCCCTTTGCATGCATTGGAAGTCTTTTGATGAAATCATGGGCCAATCCACAGCCAATTCCTCCCTATAATGAATTCATTACATCTGCATTAATTACACTTGCGCTCTCGGGTGAGCCAAGTATTCCTGACACAGGCAGAGGGGATGATGAATAAGGGTTGCATTAAGTGGTGTAACCAGTTTTTGATAGTGATTTATACCAGCCAATTCCATATCTGAAATGTTAATTTGTTATCATTTCCCACAGTTCCTTGGGCTATCCCTCATTAACCCCTCCCTGCTGCGTGACGATGTAATCAAGAGATTAGCCAATCGATGGCTGCCGCAGCCCGTGCATGGGGCCTGGAGGAAAACACCATTGTCCTCCCCTCCAAAAGACAGAAGGCATTTACCTTTTGTGGGAACAATATGATGAAAGGCTAATCCTCTGTATTGAACTGGGGTAATGCCGTTTAAATTCACATTAGACGTTGTAAGCATTTAGCTGACACTGTGGCACAAAATGAGTTGTAATTACTGAGTAGGTAGGAGCTGCTTCTTGCTGTGGGACTATTGTATGTTAATCATCAAGTCAACTGATGATGTAGGGATCAAACATTTGACCCTTATTTCTGCCATTATGTTATGAGAATAGAGTTAGTATTCAAAGTAGTTACATAAGTAAAAGTTACCATTAGGTTGCATTAAGCTCCTTTGAGAAACTTCCCATTTATGTCAATTGTGGCGCCCCCTGTGGGCAAAAATGCTACTCCTGATCTCTTACACAACTAAACAAGATACTCACTCAGTGAAAAAAAAACCTGATTCATTTTACAACTTTGACTTCTACCCCCAGGCAGCAGTTTCAGACGATAACAAAAACTATTAGAAATAGTCATCTTCATGCTTGCTGTTATAGGTCATAAATATATCGATATTATTTCAGTCTGTTTCATAACTCTCTAAAAACTACTCACAAGAGCTTTAAATAATGAATGCATGCATAAGTCCACGATGTAGCTTATTCTCGGATGAGGATTTTGGTTTAGAAGCTCTGTTTCATTGCCTGAAATTAAACAGTTGTTTATATTTTGGGGGGTTCTTCGTAATATATAAACCAGCTATGAATATGTTTGTTTCAATATAAAAAGCTTAGCTGGCTGCCATAGAAAATAAATTACTTCCCCTGTGAAGCTTTCAGAGTTATTCATGTGGGCTAGTGTTGATCCAGTATCATCACTGCTGGCATAAAGCCATTAGACTCAAATGGTTTTACTGCATAAGCTCTTGTACAGACAGTAAAGGCATAACACTAAGCAAAAAAGCAAGAGAACTAACAGAGTGAACTTCCACATCATACACTGAAAAGTGTTGTTTTCTGCTTAACGCATCTAACCCTTTGTTCTCTGTGTTACATCCTGCTGACATTGCACCCAGTGTGTCGGGATGGGGTGTTACAGTCGATCTGTTGTCAGTTTATTTCTGCGCTGAGACAAATTCGACAATCTCACAAGGAGACCGTCACCAGTTATGAGCGATGCAGGCTCTCTCTGGGCCAATGGGCAATAAAATACATCATCGCTCCTAGTTTCATCAAAAGCGGACCAGTGGTGGCAGTTAAGGCTCACTCAAAGTGTCAAACTTTGACACGTACTTTTAGTGCAAGCATCACACCAAACAATGGGATGATGCTTACACATTGGCACAGTTTTATCAAAATCAATAGTGGTGGAGATATGAAAGTACCATTAGTTACTTTTCCCCCTGGTATATGTTTCACGAGTGAAACTGCACAGAATGATGTTTTTAATCAGTTAAGTAAAGGGCCGGTAGTGAGATTAAAATAAGACCCAATCAGATTTTTGGAAGTTCAATCCCTGATTCAAATAGTCCTACTGTCATGACCACTGACAGCTGTTTCCCCTGACTTTGTCGTATACTGTCTACTGGCTCAATCCATGAAAAAAGAAAATGAAAACAGCCCCCTTCCCCCCAAAACATGACAGCAGGTTTTTATAAAAAATAACTCTTCTGTCAGTTTTTGGATTCAAGTAACCACTACTCCAGTTTTGACTATAAAAAAACTTTGACACATCAGATATATATTTAAATAAAATGTACATTAGCTGCCTTTCCACTACAGGAACTATCTCCAGGGACTAGGAACTTTTGGGGTCATAACACATTGCACCAAGGGTATAAACAAAGTCCCAGGAACCTTAATATACCCAACAATAGTTCCCTACTCTGGGGGTATTACTTCCCCAGAGTACTGGGACTTTAGGTTGGGCTTACATGTGTGGCTGTTTCACATGTCAACCTTGTGGAAATGAAAACAAAACGGGCAGGAGGAACCTTTAGGTCTCTTGGAAAGAATCTCCAAATCTAACGTGTTGTTGGCTATATACCTAACCAAGCAGCCTACTGATATGTCATGTTTGATTGATTGAAGAATGAAGAGGCATTTTGGTTTACAACTGGTTATAACACTCATTGGAAATTGAAAATGAACTGCATAGATCCACTTTTATTTGCTTTTGCCAACTGGTCTGTTACTTCAAGGCTATTAAACCCTAGTTTGCACAAGTCAACTTAGTTTCGAAACTTTTCCACACACATGCTGAAAAAATGGAAAATTAAACCCTAAAACCCTAAAAATGATTAAAACAGCAAGGTCTAACATGCAGTCCATTTTCTTTTTAGAAATAGACATATACCTGTGTTATATTTTATCCTGTAGTTTACCTTTAGGGCAGATGTCAGTGCAGGGGATGCACATTTTGATGCGATTCTCCTCCACCTCCATCTTGTTGCTGGGGCATGCTCTGACGCAGGAGCTGTGGTCCACCACAAAGTTATCTGACGGTAACACAAAAGGAGAATGCTGTTTATTGGTACGAGTTAGTTTTAGAATATAAAATCAAAGTGTGGCATTCTGTCTTGGAACAATTTCCTGGAAAGAGCACTCTAATTGCGAGAAATTGATTGTATTTTAATCACATTTGTATAATGATGAAAACTAATGGTCTAAGGCTATATTGCTCTGCAAAAGAAATGAATCAAATTAGTACTTGGTGGTGGCGGTGGTAAAGTGTGACTGGTGTGTGCTTATTTGATGATCAGTGAAACTTGAATATGCAATCTGTTTTCGGAGATTGACTTTCAATGCACGTTCGCTCATTTCCGAGTGCACTCTGACTTCATATCACTGTGACAGCGAGAACTCGGATGTACTTCCTTTTCAGCTGCCAGAAGTTTAAACAGATGGCGTTGCAATGACTTCATTGAGATGCACAATGTATTTATGTTCGAGTAATTTATCCTGACTTTAAATAATCGTCTGGAATCCTATTTCATGCTACATGGAAGAGAAATGCTTCTCTGAGTTGCACTAGTTCAAACCTATTGTTGAAACCTGTTTAAACCTATTAGGCCATTCTTCATGCCTCCCCTGCATAAGTTGGTTCCCCGGATTGGCCACCCCAGTCAAAACAGTCTGGACACACCCCTGGCAGCATTATCTTCAAGTTACAATACTGGAAACTGATTGGATACACTTAAAGCGGATCATTTATTGACTTACGAGGGCATTTCTTGACACAAAAGGCTCCATAAGTGTACTTGGCTCTTGGGTTGTGCTCCAGCTGAAAAGATGTGGGGTTGTAGACGAATGGCTGGGGGCACTGGGTCACACACGCTCCACTGTCGTTGAAATTGGTGCAAGCCTGTGGAGAGCACATGAGCACAGTCAGCTAAAGGTGGAGGATACAGGCAGACTTCCTATGCGAGGTAAATGGAGGGAAACATGGAGGGTATTAGTCACTCTATACGAAAGAGTATTACAGCAGCATTTCATTTTTACGTCTGAGTGCGACACGCGTATCATACAGCTGCACCTTGCCTCTCAGAACGCCAAATGGGAGAAAAATTGGAGCCATTGATCCACAGCCACGATGTAAATGCTGAAATGTTGTCCCATAAACCTCTTAAGTGTTTTGTTGTCTGTGGCCACAGGCTGTAATTGAATTGGATGAGCCTTTCCATGAATTACAACTACAATATCACCCCCGTCATTGTGCGTGCATATCCTTGTCTAGAGCATGCGGAATAAGAAGAACTTGGGATGATAAACGGGATACTAATTGGAACACTGAATCACCAATTTGTTCTTTGAAGAGCCAACGCTGCGTCAGACTTTTACTGCCCCGTAAAATGACAAACAATTTATCAGTCGGTAAACAACGTGGATCATATTCAGGGCGCGGAGGATGACGAACAGATGTTGGAGAAAAAAAGACACACTGGGTGGAGGATGATAAGTGAGACGAGGTTTGGGAGTCGGGACTTCTTTTTAGGGGCTTTGGATGAAGCGGGAAATGAGAGAAAAACAGAGAGTATCGAAAAAGAAGGAAGGAGTGATGAAGAGGGCGACAGCCTTTGTGTATATGTTGGTGTGCAATGTGACATACGAAGCAGTCCGTGTCCTTGGGGCCCGAGCAGCCGCCGGCGCACTCGCGGTGGCAGCAGTCGCTGACGTAAGGCCCGAAGCATCGCCCGTCACACTGCTCTGCACACACCGTCTTTGTCACTGCCCAGGAAGAGGGAAAGAGAGAATTTTAAAGGTCTGACACACTCATTCGCACTCATAAGAAGAGACAATACCACCACCCTCAGCCTTCCTCCCGCGGTATGGTTTGCACGCAAACATCGTCGGGTTTGGAACTCAGGCAGAAACAAATGAGGGGCTTGGGCAACCTAAAGGTCAGTCGAGAGGGTTCGTGACCACAAGGTCGCTTGCTTGAATGCCCAGATGGACCTTAAAAATCACAGAGCACTGTGTTTTCTCTCAGCGACTGCTCTGGAGGTGCCCTTGAACGAGCTCTTATCCTTCAGCTTGAGCTCAGTTTCATGAAAATTGCTGTTGCACTTGTCGTCTCGCACCCACCAATCTGAAGTTGGCTGTTGAACAAGTGAGCTCAACTGGTTTTCTCCCCAGAGAAGAAATTGCAGTAAACATCACTGATATCTGCACTTTTACAACGTGTGTTTTCCACCAAGTGGACTACTCGTCTAGACACACCTTCCAACTGTGCTGATAACTCCCAAGACACTGGCTTTCCTCGTTGCTCTGCCAACTCTGGTGGTATCTAGGGAAATATCCCTTTCATTTTATTGCAACACAGCTTTAAAATAAGCTGTATTATTAACCGAGCAATAACACTTGGATGTGTCTGGCACCTACTGCATCGAAGTTGCTCCAATACTTGTGCTAAAGAAGGGGCCTGCTCCACACGGTTGGTACATTAGGAGACATACCAGCCAGTGAGCCAGCAGGAGCTTGAAGATGAGGCATTAAAAACTGCTGTGCTCACTCTCTGCTGTGTTGGGAGCATAATGATGCAGTAGTGAAAAATACAACAAGGCCCAGTAGTCTATTAGTCAGTGAAAAAGAGGCCAGTTACTCTCTGGATCTGTTAGACATGGATAGAACGGCTAAAACTGCAATTACACAAAGAACTGTTTAGTTAACTACCCCTCTTCCTCTTTTGTCTTCCTTAAGTTTTTCCAAGAACTTCACATTTTTATCTATTCATGTTTTTACATCTCAGTAAAATCAGAAGAAAACACAGCACAAGGTCTAATCCCCTCATATACATTCTATGTCATGTGTTTTTTTTGTTTTTTTCAGAAAGTGGTTTCTACAGACTGATAGAAGCCTCATATGTGTGTGTTGAGTTCATGACCAGTGAAGAAATATTTAGCTTAGCTTCGCGAAATGACTAAAAAACAAAGGGTGTGGCCAACGGTTTTAACAAAGCTCACGAAGCAGGAGTTTTTCAAAAAGATTGATATCAAGCTCGTGTCGATGTGCTTTAGGTTGGCTTTTGAGGTTGAGTTAAGGGATGTTTCGCTTAGCTTAGCATAATGACTGAAAGCAGGGGGAATTTGCAACAATTGGTATTTTTAGATTTTTAAATAACGCTTACCAAAACCAGTAACACTCACAAGTTAACATGCTCAATCTGATAGTTATTCAAGCTTAGCAAGGCTAGACATTTCACTCCCTGGCACCTGCTTTCTAATAAATGTTCAAACATGAGAGGGGTTTTAATCTTCTCCTCTTTCCCCTGGCAGCAAAGTGTGCTCGACTTATACCCCAAATGTCAAATGATTTCTCTTGTTCGGTATCTTTAATACCCTATTAGTCACACTTAATTGTGCATGAGTGTGTCGGCATACTCACAGGTTTGACACTGGTCTTCCTGATGACCCCAGCAGCGTCCGTTGCATGAGCGATGACAGCGGCGGCCTGCAGAACAGATCATTGTGTACTGTGCATGAGACAACTTCTCTGAAAAACTTTTGATGTAGTTTAGAGAAATAAAAGCCACCCCCCCCATGCACTAATTGCCTAATTGTTCCCTCGCGCATCCCCTTACAAGTTCTCTGTCTAGTGACAGTGACACATCTGTCGAATCTCCTCCGCTCATCTGACAACACACCCAGAGTCACCGCGGCTACTTGTGGCTTGTTGTGAACATAACCATGAAAGACAGGCTGCTACTCCCTTTCCGTCAAGCGCTCGCACAGGCAAAGTGGGACCTGACAGAGCACTCACAACCTTCATCTGCCAGCGGCCCATCATCTTGGCTTAATTGACTACGGGTTAATTACAGAGTAATGGAACAGTGCAGCAGATTGTCACCCGGCCCCTTCAACCACTCCCACTGTGGGGTTGTTAATGTTAAATACTAACTACGCCTTGGCAAAGGGCCTCAATTTGGCAACCTCCACTCCCACACACTCTCTTGTCATTTTTTGGCCCACCTCTTCTGTTTTTCTTTGTTGCTTTTCATCCTCCTCCACTGCCATCAGTTGCATTTAAACAACAAAGCAGCACATATTTGACTAAAAGCGTCTTACCAGAACTTTTTTTTTTTTTAGACAAACCAACTTTGCATGATGTTTGACCCCTTGCTAAGAAACCGAGTCAAGCTTATGAATAATTTGCCTTGCTCTCGCTGTAGGAAAAGATTGGTCATATTGCCTTTTCATCACAGAAACTTTCAACACTTCACCCCGATCTTTTATGTCTTTGCTCGCAGTTTGGCGCCTCAGCTGTCCCTATTGTTCACCCTGACATGTTTTGATACTGAGGGTCTTCAGAAACTTCTGCGCCTCTCTAAAAATGAGCAATAGACTCATCCAAAGATCTGCAGAAAAGTTTGGAGAGAGCCTGTCTTGAGCAGCCAGTTCTTCTGACACAGAATGTCCGCTGGATAGCGACGCCTGTTATGTCCAAAGCAGAGGGAACTGAGGGACCGCAGAGGAGGGGGACGCAGGGGGGAAGTGGGCAGCTTCAAACCAGCTGTCAGCTTCACTGAGATTTAAAAAGAGCACAGCGGACAGCAGCTCCATGGGCCTCGCTGCAGAGCCGCGACCATACCACTACAATAGAAAGGTTCACACGCTGATCTAACACTTTGTGATTTCGCTTCCAAATGACCGCCAGGCAAACAGAGTGAATAAAAAGGGATGGGGCATGACTGCTGCTGGTGGGGTGTGTGTGTGTGTGTGTGTGTGTGTGTGTGTGTATATACAGTGCATTGGCATGTGGTTTGCTGTCACATTTCGGAGAAAGGCTAAGAAAAAGTTTGATTTTCATCCAAAGATACTGGTCCCACTGGTTTTCATCCATACTCACATCCCAGGTTGCTGTTGTTGGATGGTACCACCAGCAGCTGCGCCTGGGGGTTCTTGATAATGTCACGCCAATGGATGTTGTCCGCGTGGCACAGGAATTTGTTCTCTTCAACATAAACCCCTCCATTCAGTATCTCTGGGGGGAAAAAAAAAAAAAGGACAGGGACAGAAAGAAATGAGCACATAGCCATGGACAGATAGCACATGTATATGTTGGCAGAAAATCAATACTTCAAGGTTGAATCCAATCCTTTTTGTCTCAAAGTACCGTGCTGCATAAGGTGTTCTCTGAAGTGCATCTGAGTATGAAGATAAATGCTATTGACAAATGCACACGGTAATTCAATGCCAGGTCCAAAGGCAATGAGGTTTCATGAGGAAGTACCCCAGAAAAAAATATAAGTAAATGGATTTTACCAAGAAGACAAACAACCTCGCTTTTGGAGGAACTCTTAAATGTACGTCAGTATAAACTTCATAATTTAACAGTAAGTGTAATATAGTGTTGGAGAGTGAGCTAACTGTCACTGGGTGACATCAGATACTTGTTAAAACTTTAAGTAGAGGGATACTGTTCATAACTTAAGTGTTTTTTAAATAGAGGTTGGTGTAAAATCTCATACAGGGAATCCTGCTTAGCGTTAGAGCAAACGGGGAACAGCAGCATTAACATCTGGCATCTTATTGGGTTCTATTTGTGTGTTAAATTTTGTATTATTCCATTATTATCTTTAAGGGCTAAAACGGACTCAGAGAAAATAAGGCACGGCAGCTCTCTTGACCTACGCTATCAAAACGAGAGCAGACAAATCAAAGACAAAGGCAGGCCTCTCATGCGGCATTAGCTTAATGGCGAAAATATGTTTCTTTTCAAGGACCAGTGCCCTTAACAGATGCCCGCGCGAGGAGTATGATAATAAATTCTAATCCCTCTCCCTGTTACTAATCCGGGTTTTGGATATGGACACAGAATGAAATGATGCCGCAGTAATCCTTCCCTACTCCTAACTGTGACCCATGGCAGACGAGAAACAACAGCCCCCCCCCCCCCCCCCCCCCATCAGCGTCTCTTTCTCTCTGGGACACCAAGTGACTGCATTATTTAACCTAGTTGAAGGATTTAGATACAATCATCCTGCATCCCCATCTACTTAAAAATAAGAAGTACAGACGGATTCCATGAAAGTACTTGTCATAATAAATTAAATTTAATATAAGAAAAGTAACAATGTGGTTGGGATCAGGGCTGGATTATCTGAAGGTAAAGAAGGGTATTATCTCCCCAGGCAGATTATTAACAGTGTATGAGTTATGCGGATGGTTCAGCAGACCAGCAGCACGCGCAGGAAGCTAATCATTACCATCCGACACCCTGATTAAGGAAGTGGGCCTTGGTGGAGACGGGGACATTTATTCAAAGCCCTCTTAGAGGTGACATGGCGCTCCGTCTGCCCGCTGAATGGCCTACAGCCGCAGCTTCATGTAATCATGTTCCCGTCACAATGGACGATTTATCAGCGGTTGCTCTACATTCATGAACAGTGGGGGGGGGAGAAGAGATAGGCTGTGCTTTATTCAAATAATTTGGTGAGCATACTGTCAGCATCCTTTTGTGTCATTTTAAAATGCTTAAGACTCCACTAACACTTTTTTTCTTGGACAAATAAACAACTTAAGTAACATCCTGTATACACTAAGAAACAACAAAAGGTCAGCTGGGAACAAATAAGGAGTCAACACCACACGATTTTAACACCCACACTCTTACAAGAACCAGCAATTGTCATTTCAGTCAACAGAGTCTTGGCAAAGCTTGTTCAGTTTGGGGAGACAAACATGTCTAAACATTTGATGATGGATCAGAGCTTTCCTTTTCCCAGCAATTAACTCCGACCACACCTGACTGGAAGAATGCACCAACTGTTTGTCTTTGGTTTCATTTTAAAGCTGGAAAAACAGGCTGTCAGGAACTCAAAAGCATAGAAGTATTTGAAAAGTTGTAGAATTCTGTCGTAGCTTGGATTTACAAAAAATAAGAAGAGTTTTGTTCGAATATTGCAAAGAGACCTGACTTTGGTTTAAAAAGCTGTGGCTGTTGGAACTGGCTTTGTCAGAAAGGCACAAACCATTCACAGTTATTAGGAACGTGGTCATCATGTAACTGAAACAATTGGTACTACCAAGGCTAATGATATAACATTCAAATTCAAAGAGAAAAATGTTATTTTAAGATACAAGGGAATCACTATGGGATACAATTATTGATAAGTAATCTTTCTTAGCCAGGTAGCTTTCTTATAAAGATATGAATTCTACGGGGGGCAACAGATTTACATTAAATCATGAGCGTAAGATTAATGGCTGGACCAATTTTTATGATGATCCATTCAATTTTGTGTCCAGAAACTTTTGTCGAGGCATTAAGATGTAACAGAATTTGATTGGATATGCATCAACTTCGACCTGCAAGATTTGTATTCCTTTACACAAATTTGATAAATGTACCAAATTTCAAACCATTAGAGCCGATAGTTTTTGAGACACTTAGGTCTTGACAACTCCAATATTGACCAAATTGTACTTTATCAAGAACACTTTCGTAAAAGAGTTTAAACCTTCAAATGAAACTAGTGGGAGTACTCCCACTCTCAGGTAACTAACTCAAAGAGTTTAGATTTTTGGAATTTGTCTGGCAGCAATCTAGCTGTACGATATTTTCACACAAATGGAATCCATGTCAAAAGTTTAAACTTGAAGCAATGCTAACGTAAGAACGCAGAGATTCCTTTTTACAGCTTTGGAGCAATGTTTCCTACATTTGAGTCTCTTAAGGGTTGACAGATATCCATTTTGTAATTTCATGGAGAGCCATCTTTCTGATCAGCCCGCCCACCACTGTCCCAAATGCTCTTTTAAGCGCCCGCGTCCAGATCCCCCCTGCTCGCTACAAGACAAATCACCATCTCTGCTGTCCGTCCAGTCATAGGGCTCTAACTCTCCCAGCGCGATGACAAGCCGCTATCGGGTGGTCATTCGTTTTGTGCGACAGCCTTGCGCCACCACCCACCCATCCTCCTCGCTCCACTCCCACCCCCCACCCCCCCTTGTTCTTCGATCTTTCCATCAGGATAGGAGATGTACAGCAGAACATCCACCCCCTCCACCGTCCACAGTGCTGTGAATTACGATGTAGTCATAAAAGCCATTGTCCTGCATCAGAGGAAGGGGGAGTTGGGGGGGGGGGGATAAAGAAGGCAGTATAAAAGAGGGAGGGAACTGAAATAGAGAGAAGAGGTCATTGCTAAGGCTAACAAAATTAATCACGTAAAAAAAAAATATAATTCCCAGACCTTTGTTATAAATAGACTACATGGAATTTTACGGGCACTGCTCCATAATCTGGATCTACTGTAATTCGTGTCAAAGCTTTTTGAGTTGCAGCTTGTAAAATACCTTTCCTGGAAAATAAATGTTGCTGAATGGCAAGTGGTGGGGTTACTGCAATTGCCTAACTAAAGACCTAACAATAGTCTCAAGTGACCTCCAGGGCTTTTTAAAGTCAAGAGAGCCCGTTTTCAGACAGTATGTGGATTTGAGGGAGATTACTTTGGTAGCAGACTTCATCGGGGGAAAGGAAAAATGCTGAATGCTGAACAAAGAAACACACAGAACACAGAAAATACAGGCCACTTGACTCCAAAACTATTCCACTCATTCTAATAGTTTCCAATTAGAACTTTGTAGAACAGAAGTAAAACGACTCAACAAATAAGAGCTTGTGTGGCGCCATGAAATATGATGAATTTACCATTAAAGGGCAAAATACCCAGAACTTAATGACTTTACAGTTGAGGAAATATGATAATGTTGCGGAACGGGATGAGGAAGTAACCTTTTCACACCAATTGTAGAACATTTGTATTCTATGTGATGCTCTTGGAAGCCGAAAGAACAAACAGCATGACTAAGACTGGCTTTAATTTCTCAATCATTGACAAAAGAAGCATCAAAGAGTGCAAAGACAGAGTCAGAGTGCCCTGACAACAAACCCATGAGTGATTTGTGTACACCTCTAAAAGAGATAACAGGATAAGAATATAGCAGGTAAGAGCAGAATTCAAATTCGGAGAGGTAATGTGGCACAGGGTTTCTTGGGATTATTTATTTGCATTGCCATCACACCCACTCAAAACAGAGAATAGGCCAATCAGTGCACAGATTGTTAAGGAAGTAAAAATGATCCCTGCGCCAGGCTGCCTTTGCGAGCCAATTAAGTTCATTTTACTGTCGTTCAGCGGAGCGAAGAGCCCCTATTTTGAAGTAGTTTCCAGGCAATGATGGCCCCAGCACCAATCAGCGGTCATAGCTCTACAGGGAGCCTACTGATGAGCTTTCATCAGCGCTGCTAGCCACTTGTCCCGCATCTCTTCCCCAGCCTAATTATGCTGATGAATAAGGCCGTAATAGTGATCCGTCCTCGACTGATGAGTCCATGAGTTTTCCGTTATTGTCTTGTCTCGGGGCCGGGTGTGTCACAGAGCACACAACTCAAGGGGGGGAGTGCGTCTGAGCCGTCCACTCTGCTCTTTTTTATTAGTATCATCTCTCCATCATCACCCTCCACCCCTCAGACCCACCCATCCCCTCCCTGCATTTCCTCACTCCAGCGATGGGCTGGCTTGCTGAGCACGGGGAACAGAGAAATCGAGATGATCACTCTTTCTTTCCACAGTCGGGTGACCCTTTTTCGCCCCTTTTTTTCTTCTTTTTCAAGCAGAGAAAAGCCCTCAGAAGCACACGCAAACATAAAAAAAAAAAAAAGACAGCGGACAAATAGAACATTTAGCCGAGTACCTCTAAAATTCTCAAGTGGACGTGCAAAGTGCTGCATAGACACAGAAAATCCCTATGATAAACATCCCCTGTCTGACAGCAAAAAGCATCTCGGAGCTCTGTTTCATCAGGTCGACAAAGCCGCGCATTTGTAGGCAGAGCTGGAGAGCTAAGCCGAGGCTTTACCCTCTTAAATGCCAATTAATCACTCGGTGCTTCAGAGAACAACGCAGAGAGCCCCAAGGGAAGCTGCTTGAATTTGTTTAGAATTTTAAAAAACGAGGTAGATTGCACCTTTTTCAT